GCGTAATCACGGGATATCCAATGCGCGGTCCGGTTGTCAGATTCGAAGAGACCAACTGTGTAGCTGATCGCGACGACTGGACCAAGTTGATCAATACAGCCAGACAGGCACCACCTGATTCGCCGCTAAACGACATTTTAGTATTTCTTCAGGATTGGTGCGGCACAGCACCTAAGTACTCGTTTTAAAAATAAAAGTTTTAATAGAAGGTTAGTGTAAATAAAAAATAATATGAAAAATTAAAAAAATTTAAAACAACTTGCAGATTTTTAGATAAGTTAAAATAAATGTAATGTAATAATAAGTATGTTAATATATACAAATAATATCTATATGCGTCTATACCCTTAATTCTTTGAAGATAAGAGCTTTCTATAATAAAGAAACTTAATCTTCGATTAAAAAAAAAAATAATATGATTACCATGAAACTTGGTTTTAAGAGGATTGCTGAATTTGAATGTCATTTCAAAATGAATAATAAAGGAAACTTTAATGTCACAAGATTCGTAATTAGAGTTTAAAAGTCAATTTGAAAATCAATGCTTGCGTAGACTGATAAGCTTCAAATTAAATGAAATTAGAAATTTGATGTTATTTTTCGCGACTAAAAATTTCCTAAAATCAAGTTTTATGATATAATTAGATTATTTTTTATTCCGTCTACCGTATTAGATTCATCATTTTTAATTTTTAATCTCAGATTTAGATAAAGCATTATAATAAATTATCTCATAGGCTAAGTTTTATAAAAATCGAACCAGCAGTTTATAAAATAAAAGACAGTATAACTCCCAAATGAAGTCGCTCGTTTGCAAAAGATTAAAAGCCACGTAATGGCATTATGGGCAATGTATTTCATTTAGTCGAGATTTAAATCATCTTCAGAAAGAGATTTATATTCCTCATAAGATTTAATTATTCATAATATTTATTTATTATTTTCTGCTTCAAATATGTCTTCGAAAAGGAGAAAATTGTTACAGAACAGTGTTAATTTGTCAAATTATTTATTAATGTTTCTTTCAGTCAGATACTACGTTCGTCCTGCAGGGTAACTCATGAAGGGATTTGAGAGGATGGGCAACCGCAGATGATAATTAACCGCTTAGCAAATATGCTCGGCTTTAGCGCATTCCATAAGCCAAAAAGCCACCCGTGGAATTTGGTGGTTCAAAGTAACGCAAATATACCCACACGTACGTGCGTGCACGTACACACGACGCGCGCTTCATATTGACTCGAAATCATGAACGAGCTTAATACATGTCGCAAGAGAGAAGAGACACGCCATATTGTTAATGTTTAATATCCAACAGCGACAGTCGCAGCAAGAGCGCATTGCTTGCATTATGTCATTTAAAATAATCCTTATTATATTAATCAAATAAAAATGTTATTAATAATCTATTTATTTTATTAATAGATAACTATTTTATTAATAAAAAGAGATAAACGATTGAAAAACATAAGAATATTACAAAAAAGTATTTTGCTTATATTATTATAAAAATTAAGGAAACTAATGTAAAAATATTTATTTTTTACGTAACAAATGTTAATACACTTTTACTTATTGTTATTTTCATAACGTCTCATTATTTCGTATAATTAAGCAATGAATTAAGTTAAATTGAATAATTAAGCAAAACTACGAAAAGTGAGAGAGTTGAGAAAGTAATAAAAATTGTAAAACTATAAAAAAGAGCTTCAAAGAAGAGAAAGAATTAAACAAATACAACTTGAATATTCTACGAGCAAATTTTCGTTAATGTATTTTCTACCTTATAAAGCGAGAGCAAAGAAATCTGCTTGAACAAAATCAGATAAAATAAAAAGAGGGAGATATATGTATATACAACGCATCTTGCGGCTACGTTAATTCCCGCGTGGTCGACACCTTCGATTTTCCGATAATTACCGCATAATGGCGCCTATACAACTTTCAGACGCTTTAAGCGGTCTGAAAAGGTACCGTGGGGAGAAAAAAAGGGAGCAATGAGAAAACGCAGTGTGCCCGTCCAGACCGACCCCGATCCTTGCTTGGGAACTCGTGAAAGCGTTCGTTGATCACTGCCATTAAACGCTCTGCGATTAATTTAAATAAATGCGCCGCCGTTATGAGAGGGGAACACTTACCTGTGAGGGATGGTGGATATTCAAATGCGGACTTCTTCGCTGAAAAGTCGCCGAGGACTAATCTTCTGACGGATCGCGGGATTTCCTCCTAAAATATTCCTACGAAGAACTAGAAGGGATGGGGATGACTTAATTCCGGGATTATGTACCAGAGTGACTTGGAAAATATCGAATGTTTAAAGTTGTTTCAGTCTTGTCTGCAGTAACTTAATTTCATCTACAAGATCAAATAAAAGTCTTAAAAGTATGAGATTACGTGAAATTATCACACTGATAAATTATCGATATATATATATAGAATTTTGTCTTGATTTTTTATACATACATATCAATTAAAAGTATTTTGTAGAATGGTAACATATACAACTTTGGCCATAAACAACCCTCAATTTATCGCATTTTTACACATAAAAAATCCTCAATTTATAGCATTTTCTTGAGAAAAGTGATAATATAAAAACCAAAAATCGATTAACAAAATATTAAATTGTTATATTGTAAAAATATTGTTCTTCAATAAAACTTGTTTAATTCATTTTTTAGTTACATATAAAATATTTATGTTAATTTGTAGGGGTGCTTTATACTAATTATGGACAAGATTGTATAATATACATATATATTATATGTATATAGGCCTAATTTATATCGTACACTTGGTATGGGTACTAACTAGTAACTTTCTATTAAATTATCTTAATTTCAGCAATGTATTTAAAGAATGATGTACTGATTGCTACAATATGCATCAAAATAATTAATTATAAAAATACTCATATCATATATATGTTTACACGTATCGCCGAAATTAAGATTAACTCAATAGAAAGTTACTAGTTAATACCCGTATCAAATGCACGATATGCACGTAAACTTGGCCATAAAGAGCTCAGAATACATCGAAGGATAAAGATAAGAGAGAGAAAAAGAAAGAGGAGGGAACGAAACAAGATGACAACATACGTTAAAAAATTGGTGTATATAATAACAATAATATATATAATATATATATAACGTATATGCGCATGTTTACATGATTCTTATTACAACAGCTTCATTTTTAGTCTAGCCTAACCCAAACCGCCGGAATTAGATTCGAGCAGTCGTTTATATATATATAATATATTATAATATATTATTCATAATATATTAACATCTCTCGTCTTCTTCGCGACTTCCTTGAATTATTAACTACCGCGTTTTAAATTACAAAAAGTGGTTGCCCTAAAACCCACCTGAAACCTTTCGCTCCGAATTGGACGTCTTCTTTTCGTTTCGCGCCTAAATTACGCTGGAATATATTATTTTAATATGCTCTAAATCTATATCTATGTATATATACCTTTAAAATGCAATATTGAAAAACGTTTAAAAACGCGTGTTCAAAATGACGTGTATTTGCAGACAAAAAATCCAAATCTATCAAATTCTCGAACATTAACCCTTTCAGTACCAAATATCGAGTTTACATATATATAAGTAGAATATTAAATATAATACATTGATAGAGCGGTAAATGTATAGAAGTTCCAACGATGTCTCTTCACTCGTCTCTCAACTCGTCGTACGAGTTGTCGGAAGAGCTCTCTAGTTTTCGCTGTTAAAAGACTTCAGAACAAAAATGGAGCAAATCCGTAATTTGTAAGGCCTACTTCAAGTTCAACTTTATGTGAAACTACAAACAACGGACTTGATCCACTTTCGCTGTACGAGCTTTTCATTCACACTGTAGAATTGTGTTAACGTGCAGTTAACATTAGAAAAACTCGTTTCGGAGTAAAGGTGGCTGTTCTCTTATTTAACATCGTATTAATGCAGTTTTCGTGCCGATCTTTTATTTAACAGCGCAGAACTGACGTAGTTATATGGTGCTAACCCTTCGTTTGACGCTACAGAATTGCGTCAACACTTCGTTTAACGTCACGGGAAACCTGCGAGCTATCTCCATACGTCGCTCCACATGGTATCCTAACAGGTCCAAACTCGAGGGAAATTGTAAAAAAAAAGCGCAGATGCAATATGGTGCGTAGATACGGAAAGGGTTAGCGTATTTTTTTAATTCTTGAGAGGAATTCACGGATAGATAATCGTGTGGCAGTCGATTCTCGTCTCGCGTGGAGAACTGCGCGACGAAGGAACTTGTTCAATAAGAGAGACACACCCGTCTCCGCATCATAAGATCACTACTGGATCGCGAGATATGCACGATCTAGAGAAAAATCTTGTCTCATGACAGCGCTGGCGCCGAACGGTCGTTAGTCTTCGTCTTTCGCAGCTTCACAGTCGCGAATATGTTAGTCCTGAAAGGCGTTAATTGCAATTAATCGGGATGCGCGTCCGTAATTCTTATCTTATTGGACGATCACAAATACGATCACGAGCTGAAACTTTGTTTGAATTTTCTGAGAAATTTTAGAGAGGGTGGGCTTCTTTCTTCGAAAGTACACAATAAAGACTTTTTATTAGCACCCAATTGGCTATTTTTTTAAATATTATTTGCCGTTTGTACACTGTAAACAAATTACATGTAAAATTACAATGGTACCCACTGTTAAAAGTGTATTTTTGCATATTGTATATATTATTTAGATACTTTCTTTACAGTGTAAAACGAGCAAATTTGATTGAAATTGATTAATCTGACGATGACTATTAATGACAAAAAAAAAATTAAATTTTAATGAATATTTGTTTGAATAGTTCCAAGTAAATATTTACTAATTGTAAACATAATTTGATACAAAAATCATTAATTTAATTTAACCATCATTTTTTATTGAGTACATATTTATTTGTTGTAAGTAAATATTTATTTAGTATATCATTCAAAGAAATATAAATTAAGATCTAGTAAATTTCTTTCAATGTAGGTCTCTCGAAATTTGCAAGGTCACAAATATTGGTGAACAGATACATCTGAAAAATGTTAATCAAGTTTAACCTTGTCATCGTCTTGTCTATAGTTTGTTCTTCAACAATTATACAATTAACATTTATTGAAGGCTTAAATTTTAAATTCATATGCAAAAAATACGTGCAACTTTAAATCAGTTGGCAATACGGTCGAAGCGGCAGATAAAACTAAAAAATGGCAAGAGTTTGAAACAATTGCGAATAATTAATATTTAGCAAATATGACTTGCACTATGCCAGCGATAATCAAAGGAAGCTAACGCGTGCAGTAGTGACGAACAACAACGAGTCACGACAGCGACGTATCATCCAGCAAAATCGCTCGCTCTTTCGAAGACATAAATCGCCTAGAAGTCGTCGCAAAAATGTATCGAGCGTCTTCTTCGACGATGCTGCAAGCTCCTATAACATCAACAGCCAATCGTTGAAAACGAAACAAAGCATTAGGAAAGAATTAGCTAATGCAAATACATCACAATGAGATGTTGAATCAATCATTCAGGAGCTCGCTCATAACAAACAAGTGGCCACGAAAAAGTTCACAATAAACAAGATTGGAAAAATTTAGGAAAGGTAGAACTAATAATGAAGATGATAATTGCAAGCTCGGTGTTCGTTCACTGATTCAAATTTGAATCAATTAGCTCGCATATTATTAGTACACCTAAACTAAGGAAAAACAAAATCGCACGCAGTGGAAATCTCTTCATCTTCTTCATTGTTTAGCGGGACGATATATAATTGTTTAATCTTCATAAGATAAATATTTTCTTCTTAAATATCAACTCTTCCTTTCGCTTGCCTTTGCTACGTTTCGTTCGACGTCTTCAAAAATAAGATACTTCTGCTTAAAAAATACATTAACTCTTCATCTTTTTAAACTCAACATACTTTCAGTTTTCGAATTTTCTTCATAACGTCGCTCTTCTTATTGCTGCTTCTGCTTCTTCTTTTTATTGACGGACGCATCCATGCCCCACAGATCGTACCAGGGCCCACAATTATTTCTATCTCGGTCAGACTCTCTTCTCAGCTTGGTCCTCGGTAGCAACGTCTTCTCCGGTATGCTCTGGTCCTTCACGACGATGCAGCTGTACGTAGATTCCTCATCAGATGCTTCGGTCTCGCTGAAGTTCAGTGTCGCGTCTTCCTCGTCGTAGTTTCTTCTACCGCGCGCCATCCCGTGCCGTTTGTTCTCGTTGTTCTCCTTCAACTCGGCCACGATCATGTTCCGTTTCGCCTCGAGACTACGTCTCCGCTCCTTCTCGATGATCGCCTTCCGCGACACGTTTCCGACAAAATACGCGCGCTCCTCCTGCGGCTGGTGCTGCATTCTATATTCTGACCTTTCCGTGATCTTGGACCGTTCCGCCGGCGTCGGAAAGTCCTCGAAGTAATCGGTTTTGTCGGGCACGTGGCTTCTCTCGGCTGGTTTGGGCTCCTCGTGTCGGTGCTCATTCGTGATGGTACCCTCGCTGTTGCCCAGACTCGAGTTCGGACTACCGCCTTCGGAGTTCCTCTGCCGTTCTTCGTTCTCAGCCGTCTTGTCCTCTTTTCGGATCATCTTCGGGATGTCCACGAGCGAGCGATGCTGCCAGAGCGCCATACCCTCCAGCACCTCCGAGTCTCTGCGAAATTTCCAAAAAGACTTGGTCCGCTTCACGAGCTTAGGGCTCTTCGACTCGTCGAAAGCTCTTTCGGTTTGCGCCAAGTGACCCATGGCATTCGACTGTCGCGGTAGTACAGGCTTCCGCTCGACTTTCAGCGTGTTGTTATTGGTGTCTCCGTTACTTCGTTCATTGATCCTTGATACGACGTTCTGCTTCTGAGGACCTGGACCGTGTAAACCCGCGTGGTAACCATGTCTTTCGATTGCCTTCGTTCTCTCCAGCTTGGTCTCGAAATTCGATTCGTATCCGCGATCCCTCTCGAGCGAGCTTACCCCGTATCGGCCAGTTTCTCCATAAATCGCCTCCTCCTTATCGGAATATCTACGTTCTCGGTAGGGGCCCATCGAAGGCCGTTCCGGAGCCTCTTGCGACGGCGGTCGCGGCCGCTCGAATCGTCGGCTGGATAATCGCTCGATCGTCCTGTTGCGATTCTTCTCGAACGTTCGTTCGTAGCCCATCGCCTCCTTTCGCTGCTCCATATACGCGCGATCTTGCTCGTTCCTGGAACGAGTGCGAGCTCGCTCGTACGACTGCGTGTCCTCGCGGGTTGTCCGTTGGAAACTCTGTTTATCTTCTCTCGGGCGATCAAAGACCTTGTCCTCCCTCGAGCGCTCGAAGCCTTGCTTGTCCTCTCTCGTACGCTCCAAGTTTTGCTTCTCCTCCCTCGAGCGCTCGAAGCTCTGCTTGTCGTCTCTCGTGCGATCGAAGCTCGTCTTGTCCTCGCGGGAACTCCGCTCGAGCGAGTGCTTATCGTCCCGCGCACGCTTATCGTCTCGCAAACGCATCTTGTCGTCGCGGCGAGCCTGCTCCAAGTTCTTTTGACCGCTGTCCCGGGCGCGTTCCAAGCTCTTGTACTCCATAACGAGCCTCTCGCGACGGTCTCGCGAGAGAGCCATTTCACGGGTCTCTCTCTCGAGGCTCTTGTACTCGGCCGTGGCAGATCTCTCGCGGCGATCGAGGAACTTGGGCGGGCTGTGCTCGCGCGCGTACTTCTGCGCAGTCTGCTCGAGCTTCTGCGCTATATGCTCGACCTTGCGACCCGGCTCCGGTATGGTGATGGTGCTCTCGTCATCAGAATTCGACGACGAGCTCGTAGACTTGGCGTATTTCTCCGCTTCGAAACTGCCGCCTCCTCTTCGCTCTTGCTGAGCCTCCTGATTCTCTGCGTAATACTTATTGTTGCTGCGGCGGTATTCATCGCCGAAGTCCTCCTCGTCTTCCTCGAGCTCGTCTTCCTCGGTCTCCGCTTGCGTCCGCTTGTCGACACGCCGCTGATCGCCGCGCCGAGTTGCAGCGGGGGCATTCCGCTCGTCCGTCATCTTGGTGCGCTGATTCGGGTTGGGACGTTCGTTCAGTGCCTGTGCAGCTTTCTTGTTCTTCCTCTTCTTCGTCATATCACCATTCTCCAGCGTGAACTCGCCGTTCTCCATCTCGAAGTACTTCTTCGAATCCTCCTCGCTCGCCTGGTTGGCGAGCTTAGACTCAGCCCAGAGGTCCATCGCTGTGCGATACAGCTGCCAAGACTTCTCATCCCGTGGAATTGTTTTCCAGGAGTCATTCTCCCAGTCCTTCGACCGCTTCTCGTCCTTCGAGGAAGAGCGGTCTTCTCCACTTCGCGGCTTGCGGCGCCGTCTGCGTGCGCGGCGCGGTCAATAAAAAAGAGAAAAAGAAACCGGGGCGCGGAAATAAGGGATTAGAAAAGGGGAGGTTGTCGAAGATGCGGACCACCACCATGGCGGTTTATTTCCAGCGACCACGATAGCGCATGCGGTATCTACAAGAAGGAGAGACAATTTCGAAGAAACAGAGAAACAACTAATTTTCCAAGTGAAAGATGAGCAGCCGGAAGAGTTCAGTCCGTAAAAAATAAAAATAATTTGTTTGCCGTTATTTTAAAACAAAGTATTAAGGTCAAGGGTATTAAATAAATTAACTAATTTTAATTTTTTTTTTCTTTTTTAAATAAAAGACGAGCAAAATGTAGCGATAAATCGTAGGTAGGTGACAGAGAATGTGATGTGAAAAAATTAATTATTTGCTATTCATGCAACATTAAAACAATAGAATAAGAGATCATACAATAAATATATACACAATAATCATAATTAAGTATTGAGCAAGTATATAAAAAAGAATTCATTTGTTTAAATTGAGAATGGAGGAAAAAGAGTGATAATGAAAAGAGTGATAATATCATATAACTATTATACAATATTTAAATTTAATTTAAAAATAAAAAATAATACTTGTACCTACAACATTAAAATCAATCTGCTATCGTAAATTTTGCAAGAAATTTCTGTTACGATTTTTTGAAAGATCATCATAACTAATAACTACACAAAACCGAATAAATATCTAAACACATTTCGACTTGTATTGTAAATAATATCATATCGCACAATCAGCAGTCATGCACGCAACAATTTACAAGCAAGAAAGTAGACTCTATTCAAGACCGGTCTATTGACTGTAACAATTCGATCTCGCTTTATCTGAAATTAATCACAGTTTTTCCGACGTCGGAGATGTATGTGAATGTAAAACGCGCGTGTGGCTATAGCATCCACCACCGCTCGAATTTTTATTCCTCACAATAGCATCGCGGACCAATCCAATTGAGTGCCGAGAGTGGAGACGGCGACAGAGGGGTGAAAATCGCACTAATTACAGGGAGGTAGTAGATAGCAGAATAGCGGAGTTACAATGATACAAAGCTTCAATCACGCTGAACAGGGAGTAAAGCGGGAGTGCGCTTATCGGCTAGTTATCAGGGCGTGATGTTCACGGAGTAAAGGTATCAAAGGGCCCAAAGTACCAAGTAATAAGTGATTTGCCTGGTATTGAACGTCTGCGGATGAATAATGGTAGTCTATGTACATGTAACTGATGTAAACCAAGGGTCAAAACCGATTCAATTATGCTGAGGTCAGTATCCGATGTTGCACAGACGCGCTAGGAAGATAATTATTACGCTTATATTCTTACGAGTAAATGAAGAGATCATTTACTGTTGTTCGTGTCCCATCGAGATTTAAATTCAGCAAAATTTCATCGGTCCGATAAAAACATGTAAATCGCGCAGGTAAGCTACGTAAATTCTCTTTGGTTGAAACGATTCGGATTTCAAGTTACGAAAAAAAGGCTCCTTTTCCACTGGGTAGGTTACTTGAATTTATAATTTACAAGGAATAAATAAAATAATGTGAACGTCTGTGAAATATATACTACTATTTATAATAAGAAATTCACTACTATTTTCTTTTTAATACAGATTCTATCTAATTGTTGGAATAATGTCAAACGCGCTTGAATAGCGCAGCAACTGCTACAATGCAATATTATACCATTCTTCTAACAGAAGATCTAATTGCTTAAAAGATATTGGAGAAGGAAGTCTGTGTTTCTCCCAGCTGTTATTCGAAACTACAAATGATATTTAAATCAGGCGATTGTATTGGCCAGGAAAGACGTTGAAGTTTTCGAGAAGATACAGAGAATAATTCTAGAAATTAGAATTGGAATAAAATTCCTCCTCCAATGTGTCATTCATATAAATAATTAAAAGCTATTCTACTAAAAGAATAGTGCAACATTCCATTGATATTCAAGCTATTAAATGATTATTCTAACAAGGATAGAATGTACATTAAAAGCAGATGATAACGCCAACTTCTTATTATAAAACAAAAAAAGTGTAAAATAAATAAAGTACTCCCCAGGCTCGTCATCATTTTCTCTATCCCCTGTATTTATCTATCCTATATGGTAACATATATAGGATAGATATTATCATGGCCCCATAATCGATTGTTCCAGCACTGTTTTCAAACAGGATCAGTAGAATTATATCTTTCCTCATGCCTGCACGTAATCTCGGTTTTCCCTTTACATAATTTATGTAGCTTGCGGTTTACACGAGGAAGTCTAACTAACGTTACGCCAAAGAGCAGGGATGACTTTGTATCCTGCGGCGTAGATTTTGGACTTACCTTAGCGCCTCGTCGTCACTGTAATCGACGTCGGGCTGCACCGGCGGCTCGTTAGAGAAGCCGCTGTCGTTGCTACTGTGGAGGGACGTCATTGCCGGAGGTGGCACCGGAGGCACGGGCGGCTGCACCCTTCGCCCTCCGGCTAGCACCGCGGGCAACGTGCCCGATGGACGGATCTGAAAGGCAGACGAAACGATTCCCCTTCGCGTCTCGCCTACTTCGCATCCCAATCAATCTTGGGGGTTGCGACGCGTACACGTATAAGGATGTACTACGGTAAAGAGTACTACTATAAGAGTTTACTATAAGAGTTTACCCAGACTAGAGCTCTGAGGAAAGAAAATCGGGGAAAGATATCGGCAGGGCGCAAAAACAAACTCGAAATATTATTAATTTTTCACGATACGCTGCCGCCATGTGATCTCATAGAGCAGAAATCTTTTCAGCAATATTGCAGTAACAATTTATAATATGTTGCTGCAAGCTTGTATCGTTTGAAACAATATTGATCACACTTTATCCGAAAGACATCCTGGGAACCAGTTCCTTAGAACTTCCTTCAAAGGACAAAGGGACACCCTCCGAACGTCTTTAGAACAGACGGCGAACAACGTTGCGATTTGATAGCAGATTGAGACACGGATTAAATAACAAGCTGCAAATAACCGGAAGCGTTTGCCGTTTTACGTTGATTTAGCAGTCTCACCGATTTTGATTGACGTGCGGTCGGAGTCGCCAAGACGCTCGCGGTGTTAGTTGGCGTGCCGGCGTTGCTACTGCTGTTGTTGTTGGCATTGGTGCTGTTGTTGGCGGAGCTGCTACCGGCACCGGGAGTTCCACCGGATGATTCGTCGATACTGGCCGGCGTGACCGGCGGTCGAGAGGGCGGCGGCTTACACGGCGGTATGGCTTGCGGTTCTGGAGTCCTACCGTGGCTCGCTCCGTGACTTGGCGATCTTCGCATAATTGGATAACACAATGTACGCGGAAACCCGGGAGTTAATATGGAAGATTTTCGAAAATCAGCCAAAGTAAGTAAAGCAAGCTTAAACCAATAATATAAAACACTGTACCTCAAATAATCTATCAGCCCCGTTCTGGACGACGTCCAGCGCAAAGAGAATAAATTATTGTAGTAAACTTTTAAAATATTTTACATATGTAAAAAGAGGCAAATCATGAAAATTATTGATAAATATGTTAATTGATGGTTTGACGGAAAATAATGAAGGTATCGATAATGAGACTCACATATGATATACAATGTATCTGTGAAAATGTATTGAATTTCAAAAAAATTTTATTTATCAACTACCTCAAATGCATGCAAGATTTCAAAGCGGAATGTTTGAAGGGTTAATAACGAGTGACCATAAGTGCGAAATTTCAGTGCTACCCTACTCGAGGTCGAGCAGACTTACTTACCCCAAAGTGTCGTCGATTATAATTTCAGTGTACGCCAAGGGAAACCATCCCGAGCTTTGAGTGCGCAGATTTTCACCAAATTGCCATCCCTTTTGACGGTCGCCTGACAAAAAAAGAACGGGAAATATGCAAATCCGCAAAACTCGCTTATACGCTTCGGTCTCATTAACATTTTCGCAATGAGGGTTCTTTTTAATTTTAAACATTAAAAAACCGGGAAAAAAGCAAATAACTCATTTATCTTCATTTCGTTGCGACTAAATATCTTCGGTGTATGCAAAATACCATTGATATTAGCTCGGAATTACAGTTAATTACAATTCTATTAATTATTCTACGCTAAATATTAATAACTAAATATTGACCGAAATAGATAATCTTATTTTGATATTGTTAATATTTCAATTAATATACAGTCAATGGCTGTTAGTGTGTGGCAATAATGAAACAGTTCTCTGAAAGAAAAACTGTGTATGTATATTAAAAATTAAAGTTATATTTTTTAAGTACGTTATATACATTATTAAAATGGCGTCTAATCACCATTATTATTGATTGTAGTTTGTTAGACATGCTTTTTGAGATTTTAAGCCAGAATTTTGGATAAAAACTTTTAAATCTCCAGAATGCGTTAAGAAAACCGCTTTTGAAATTCTTTCGTTTCAAATTTTACCTTTTAATAACGCGTTTAAGTGTTATTAACACAGTTTTTATTGCTTAATTTCCGGAATGCTTTGATATCTTACAAAAAATCATTTGTTTCTACTATCATTTCTTTCAATAACTAAATAATTCTTTACTATAAGTAAATGTTTACTTTTTTCGCTATTTTTACTATTCAAAGAAATATGTATAGTAAAATTTAATAATTTTTTTCGCTATTGCCTTAATTCAACATCCTTTTTTGAATAGACCAGCAAAATTAATATACTCAGCAGTTCTCCTCTTTCAGAGAACTGCTGACGACATTCTTCACTGTAGACAGCAAACTTTCGTTTAGGCAGCACATTTCCCTCGGTATCCCGAAAAAAATTAAGAAACATATTTATGCTGTTGCTGGCGCGATCGTTGATCCCCACGTACCCCGCCAGCACTCGGTTCATTACGCGCGACAGCTGCTATCCTATAAGTGCCACAGTTTCTGGGACACCGTGTGTACCGTATCGATAGACGTTGCGAGATTAGACTTACCCATCAGCGCGATGAGATCGCCCTCCAAAAAGCTTAGCTGATTCTCCCCCGAGCTGAGATAGGCGAAGAGAGCCCTGGCGAGAGGGGCATCGCTCCAACCCCCGGCACCAACTCCGGTGCCACCCGCGCTGCTGCGGGACGTCGGGGGTGCCATGGATCGGGGTCGGGGTGGAGTTTCTGGAACCTCTGGAAACCAGAAGCGCTGTAACTGACCGAGAATGGCGTAGAGGGGAAGGGCATGAGGGAGCGGTCGAGGATGAGCTCGGGATAATGCGG